ATGCGGTGGAACAAGGAACAAAGAAGGAACCGAGCAGAGGGAAGACGACACGGACAGAACGCGTTCGTGAAACAGGGGGTGACAAGGGTGAGTTCAGAGCTTTCTTGGGGCAGCTGGAGATTCTGAAGGGCGTGGAGAGGTGGGGAGAGAGGGGAAGGGGGTGGTGGCGGTGTGTGTGTGTGTGGCTTTGCACGGCTCTCCTCTCGTCTGGCCCTGCATGGGGCACGATCGACTCATCAAATGTTATCTTCAATGCTACTGCTGCTCCGCCTCCTGGACAACGTCGTCGAGAGGGGTACGCTGAGTTATTAAGTGCGACAGTCGATGGGCCTTGGCTGGGGGTATGGGCAGAGAATGGCGCAGGCTGCTGTCTACAAGGATCCTGAGTTTCAATATGAGGAGGGTGTTGTAGGAAATAGAGTCGGACGAGCAGCCAGCGTCGCCGCTGAGACTGACTCCTCTTCCTCATCAGGGCGGGCAAAGGATGATTTTCTTCAGACCGCTCCGTCTTGAGCCAAAGTGCCAGCACAGCAATGTAATTTACATGCGCGCGGGTTGGTGTTGCCACTCTCTCCGCGCTCACAAGAAGTCCTAATTAGACAGACCCCCGAGCCTAGGATGCGCATGCTGCCAGAGAGGCCGGCATTTCGGGTGCACCGGCCTGTCCGTGCACTCTGGCTGGTTTTGGTGGGGTCCCCGGGTCTCCAGCCGGCCGGGTTAACGTCACCGCATTGTCCGGGGAATCGGTTCGGAAATCTTCCAGAATTCCCCGAGGGAGCCTTTGGGAAACCCAGGGGTCCCGAAGGACAGTGTCAGGGGACTCTAAGGAAACCCAAGAGCCCAGGTGTCTCTACGACGTGGTTCCCTCTCCTGCCTCTTCCCTTCTCCTGCGCCTTTTCTCCCGGTGCCTGCCTCCTTCCGCCCTCCCTACCCCTCCTGCACCCTTCCGCCTGCTCCTGCCCTGCCCCGCCCCCCCATCGACCACTTCCCCCCTCCGCGGTCCCTCGTCTCTCTTTCCTTCACCCTCGTTCTTCCTGCTCCCGTCTTCCTGCCCCCCTCCTTCTTCCTCTTATCTTCCACCTCTCTTGTTCCTCCTCCTTTCCCTCTCTTCGCTCCCCCGCGCTCCCTCGCCCCCCCTTCTCCCTCTTCCCCCGCCCTGCCCCCCCTCCGCCCTCCCCCGTCCTCTTCCGCGCCATGCGTTCGCCTTCCTTCGCCCCCCCACATCCGCTCCCCGCCCTCCGCCCTCCCTCACCCTCCGCCCTCACCCATTCTCCCTCGCCCCGCCCTCCCTCATCTCACTTGCCCTGCCACCCTTCTTCACCTTCCGTCCACCCCGCCCCCCACCCTTCCTCACCTTCCGTCCGCTCTTCCACCCTCGTTCATATTCCCTCATCCCCCCTCCCTCACCTTCCACCCTTACCCTCGACGCCCCCTCGCGCTCCCTCGCCCTCCACCTCCTCCCTCGGTTTCCACCGGCCCTCGAGGGCGGGAGGGTGGAGAGGGCTCCCTCTCCCCCCCCCCCGCCCCTCCCCCGCGGGGGGCCCTGCAAGCGCCCCGGGGGACGGCCGCCAATTTCTCCGCCAATTTTTACCTAACAGCTTTTGCTGATAGGTTTCTAGTGGGGTCAAAAGAGAGCATCTGGACTCCACAGGGGGGTCTGGGCGGGTGCCGGGGAGGAGGGCCGGGAACAGAGCCGGGCTCGTTTTAAGCCAACAGTCACACACTTCGTGCTCTTCGACCTCCCAGAACTCCATTCCCTGCTTTAAAAAATTGGAGGAGAAATTGGCGATGGAATCCGAAATGGTTTTTGGCAGAATTTTTGGCGGAATTTTTGGCGGGGGGTTCTTTCGAGTGTCCCAGGCGCAGTTTTTGGATGGCCGCGGGGGGCGCCCGCCGGCGTTTTTGGATGGCCCCGGGGGTGGCCCGACCGGTGGTTTCTGGATGGCCCCGGGGGGTCCCGACGGTGCTCCAGATTCCAGGCTGCTGTCCTCGCATGGCGCAAGCTATGCGGTGCAAGCTACATGTTGCAAGCTATGTGGTGTAAGCTATGCGAGGGAAGCCACGTGGTGCAAGCTATGTAGTGTTATCTATGTGGCGCAAGCTGTGCGGTGCAATCTATGCGTTCGAAGCGGTGTGGTGCAGGCTACGTGGCGTGAGTTCTGTTGCGCAAGCTATGTGGTGCAAGCTATGGGTTGCGCGCGATGTGGCGCAAGCCATGTGGATGCACGCTGTGCGGCGTAACCTATGTGGTGCAATCTATGTGGTGCGAGTTCTGTTGCGCAAGATATGTGGCGCACGCTATGCGCTGAAAGCCGCGGCTGGCGTTGTCACGCAAACGCCTTGTCGGGATTGGAGCGGGCGTTGTCAAGTAGGCGCCCTGTCGGGCCCAGAGCGGGCGTTGTCAAGTAGGCGCCTTGTCGGGACCGGAGCGGGCGTTGTCAAGTAGGCGCCCTGTCGGGACCAGAGCGAGCGTTGTCAAGTATGCGCCCTATCGGGAGCGGAGCGGGCGTTGTCAAGGAAACGCCCTTTCGGGAGCGGAGCGGGCGTTGTCAAGGAAACGCCCTGTCGGGACCGGAGCGGGCGTTGTCAAGTAGGCGCCCTGTCGGGACTGGAGCGGGCGTTGTCAAGTATACGCCCTGTCGGGAGCAGAGCGGGCGTTGTCAAGTAGGCGCCCTGTCGGGACTGGAGCGGGCGTTGTCAAGTAGGCGCCCTGTCGGGACCGGAGCGGGCGTTCTCAAGTAGGCGCCCTGTCGGGACTGCGACCCCCCGCTTGCATGTTTCCTCCCTCCTTTCGTTCCTCCCACCTCCCTCCATTCACCTCCCTCGTCTTCGGCTTCCCCTTGCTCCTTCCCTCATTCTCCCCCGCTCCCTCCTTCGCCCCCCATTTTTTTGCCTTCGCTGTCCTCGTTCCCTCTCTTCTGTGTGTTCTCGCCCCTCCTTGTCCGCTTCCCTTTCGCCCTTTTCCCCCTCCCCCCTCCTTGCTCTCTACACCCTCGAGTCCTTGCTCACTTCCTGCCCCCCGCCCCCCTTTCTCGCCCGCTCCCCCTGTCGCCGAGCGACCCTCAGCACTGCACGCCTATTTGCAACCTTGGTTCCAAGCCCTGCTCGCGCCTTCGCCAAGCCTTTGGGCAACGAGCCCAGCGCTGGTGCTGGTACTGCGCTGTGTGTTTGCGGGGTGCGCCCCGTCAGTGGTAGCGGGGCCAAGTGCGACGCTGCGTCGCAAGCGTTTCTTCGACGCCGCCCAAGATCGTCTGAGTTTCGCCGTTGCGCCAATATTGCTCGTGCTCCCCCCCTTCGGTTGTGGAGCGATTCGTTCAGCCGCGTTTTTTTGCACGCGCGCGCCTCGCCAGTGCCGCGCCCTTGCGCCGACGGCCCAGCGTTCGCGGGCTTTCCGCGCTGCTGCGCACGAGCTGAAGTATTGGATGGAATGGTGTAGCACGCGTGGAGTTGTTTGTTCGCGACGCCACCGCCAGTGCAAATGTCCCGTTGCCAGCTTCTGCGTGCTTGTTTTACGTTGGGGGCAAACGGCGGCGCTGCGGGCTCGCGACGAGTTTCAATTGCGCGTATCTGTGCAAAGCGGCCTTCGCGCATAGGGCGCCGCGTTGTTTGCCAAAAGGGTCGGGTGACCCTTGGATGAATGTGTTCTGCATGCCGGTCAGAGGTGACCATATAGGAATCGTCGGGGCCGGGGCCCGGGTCGGGGGCCGGGGCCGGGGCCCGGGGCCGCGACCGGGGCCGGGGCCAGGACCAGGGGCCGGGGCCGGGAACCGGGAGTCCCGGCCGAGACCGGGGGCCAGGGCCCGCGGCCAGGATCGGGGACTGCTGTCGATCGGGGCCAGGACTGGGAGCGGGGCCGGGGCCGGAGCCTGGCCGCGGACCGGGGCCCGGGCTCCCGCCCGGTCCCAGTCTCGGCTCCCCTGGCTGGCCCCAGCTCGCCACGGCCCCCGATCCCGCTCCCGGTCCCGGCTGTGGCCCCAATCCTGGCCCTGGCCCCAGCTCTCGGTCTCGACGCCGCTCCCGAGCACTGAATGGCGTCGGGAATGGCGTCGGGAATGGCGTCGCCCCCCCTCTGCAGAGCGATCCCCCCCCGGCTCCCGAGTGCTGAATGGCGTCCCGGCTCTGGCCGGCCCCGGCTCGCGGCCCCCGACCCCGCTCCCGGCCCCCGCCCTGGCCCCAGTCCCTGGCCCTGGCTCCCGGTCCCGATGCCGCTCCCGAGCACTGAGTGGCGTCGGGAATGGCGCCCTCCCCTCGTTGGAGAGCGAACCCCCCCCAGCTCCCGAACACTGAATGGCGTCGGGAATGGCGCCCCCCCCTGCAGAGCGAAGCATGAGCGAACTCAAGTCCACGTTCCGAGAAACTCACGCGCTGGATCGGCGGATCTCACGTACGGGCGACTAGCACATACCTGCTACCACATATAAGTAGAACGTGAGCCGAATGAGCCACGCGAGTACGTAACATATGTCAGGAATTCACGCCAACGGTTTCAAACTCAGAGCCCCATACGCCAGACACATACGCTAATAGCGTACAGCGTAGCAACACGAGCAGGCGTACGTGTCATGCGCAAACAGTATAACCACAGACATGTATCACACAGGTAACTTGCACAAATGCACCATGGATAAGCACGCGCACAAATCAAGGATGTACAACAATGCGTCAGGACTTCTGCACGATATCGCATGAAATAGTCGTACGCGACGGACTTTGAAACAATTCGCAGCAGCTCCTTTGCGGGGATCGTCCGAGGCAAACTGTTGGTTGTGTTTTTCGTGGTGTGGTGTTCCAGGGGGGCTGTGGGGGGAAACAACTTCACCGCAAGAAGTAGAAGTACGGACAGTGATGCCGATGATGATGCGGGTGTTACTCAGGATTAGGAGGCTGACGATGGCGTTGACAATGTTGATGGTATTAGAGATGGCGTTCGTGGTGAGGAAGGCGAGCACGCCGACGATGGTGCTCATGATTGTCCTGATTACGGCGATTTTGATAATGATGATGATGATGAGGAGGAGGAGGAGGAGGAGTAAGAGGAGAAGCGTGATGACGAGGAGGGAGGAGGAGGGAGGGATGGGGACGGAGCAGGGGGGCGTTGTCAGGGGATCGCCCGTCCTCTTTGATGGTGGTTGGAGGCGAATGGTGGTCAGGAGGAGGGGGAGGCGTGGACCACGCTAGAAGCAGGGGGGAAGCAGCTCCCCGGAGAGGTGGGGGCCATGTCTGAGTGCGTAGCCACGCGCGAAAGTACCTCGGCGCAGCAGGTGATAGTTGGCGCCTCGGCGAAGCAGGTGTTCGACGTGCAGGAGACTAGAGCCAGTCTCAGCGCAAACGTTGCGCAACCCAACTATTGACAGCATGCGTTGTCACAAATGCGTGCGCGCGGTCTTTGGCAGGGTGATCAGGGGAGGGGCATGTTGGAAGGCTGCCGTGTGCGCGCGTCTCTGAGCGCTGGTAGATGGATGCGTCAGGTCGGGGCCAGTTGGCGGGGGTCTGCGGAGGGCAGTGTGTGCCTATCTGGCGAGCTGTGCTTGTGTTCTAGTGCTTCTTTTGGTCACCCGTCTCCTTGACCAGCCGAGATCGATGGGGTGGAGATGGAGATCAAGAACGATAGAGAGGGAGAGAGAGAGAGAGAGAGAGAGACAGCGGCAGATAATGAGGAAGAGAGAGAGGAGAGAAAGAGAGAGAGAGAGAGAGAGAGAGACAGAGAAAAAAAAAGAGAAGCAGAGAGAGAGAGAGAGAGGGAACGAGAGAGACAGAGAGGGAGAGAGCGCTGATCAATTTTACCAGGGCGTTAATCCATTGAGACGGTCATCGATCGACCTCCTCCTCTTCCTTTCCCTCGGTTGGAGCAGCAGGAAGGACAGCCCGGCCAGCAATGAACGAGACTCCCCGCCTGTATCCTCGGTTCCAAACTCAAAGTACTCGCTCCCGGTAGCCATCCTTCTCCATCAGCATCATCACGCCTTCTCCATCAGCATCATCACGCAGGTGGGCGAGGAGATGGCAGGGGCAACCCTGTTAGAGGTGAGCGGAATAGAGCGATGGGGGAAGTAGGGAGGGAAGGAGGGACGGGAGGATATTGAGGGAGGTGAGCGATGTGCCGTAGAACGGATGAACGCTGAGGGAGAGGGCCAGAAGTGCGGTCGGGACAAGGATAACGTAAGGGGGGGGGGGGGTATCGAGGATGGAGGATGAGAGGTTGGGGAACGGCTCTGGGCTGTTTTTGGGCTTCCGAGGTGCCCTCCTGTGCGCGGCTGGAGGTGGCTCGAAAAACAAGGCAGGATGGACCCTGGAGGTGTCCAGGGACCCGCTCGAATCGATTTTTGGCCTGGCGGAGGGGCGATGAGTGGGGCATGGCTGAGCAAGGGTATCAGAGGCAGTACGATTCGTATTCTCCGACGGATTCCAGAGCATTGCTCTCCCAGTTTGTGCGTGCGACGCTTGATTCTCAACCCTCTCGTGCTGGTCTCTTTCGTTTTGGATACAGCGCTGCTCGCGCGCCTCCCTCCTCCTCCCCCTCCAGCTCGCCTCGTGCCTCCTACTTCTCCTGCCTCCTTGCCTCCCTGCCTCGTGCCCTTCCTACTGGGGGGCTGCGATCTGTGCAGCAGTGGCCGCTTTCGTGGGCTCCTGGGAGGCACGGCGGAGGGAGGGGCAGCGGAGATGCATTTGGGACCTCGCGGCTCCCTCGGGGGCTGCGAAGTGCGCAATTGTCGCCGCTTTCGTGGGCTCCTGGGAGGCACGGCGGAGTGCAGGGCAGCGCAGATGCATTTGATATCTCGCGGCTCCCTCGGTGGCTGCGAAGTGCGCAACTGTCGCCATTTTCGTGGGCACAACTGTCGCCACTTCCGTGTGCCCCTGGGAGGCACGGCGCAGTGCAGGGCAGCGCAGGTACATTTTTAGACCTCGCATTTCCCTCGGGGGCTGCGAAGTGCCCAACGATCGCTTCTTCCAGGGGCTCCTGTCTGGGAGGCACGGCGGTGTGCAGGGCAGCGCAGATGGTGCTTTTTTTGGCGATGTGTTCTTTGTATCGAGCGTTCATGCACAGATTCGCATCGCGTGGAGAAGGGGTTGGGTACGTCTTGTGTAAGTGTTCTTACGTTTCGGTTGGGCCAATGCCTGCTCGTTCTCACCCAGTTACGTCTTTCGGCTTTTGACGTGTCTCGGGGCCGTGCCGAATCGGAGTCACATCCAGTCGAATTTACATCGGCTACCTGTTACCAAGTCGTGGTGTACTCGGAAATGATTGCCATCGCACCTTTTTCGCATCCCAGCCTATTCCTTCGTTTTCTTCTGGAAATGTGCATCGGAGCGTCTCTATTCGCGAGGTGGTGGCATGAGAGTGTATGGAGGAGTGCTCAAGGGATGGCTACATCAGAACCGCTCTGGCATGGCCTTAAAACGCACACTCTCCAGTGGAGCATCAACGGGAGGGACCTCTCCGCTAGCAAGTTCAACCGCCCCGCAGGCGCTAATCGTTTACACAATGGTGGTACACAGTGGGGATACGGGGGAACAACTTGCACATTGCAATTTCCCAACACGGAAGTCATTGTAACAGCATAGCCTGCTGCTTCGCCCCGAGTCGCCCAGCCAACCACCGATTCGAGAACGCATCGTTTCATATAGTTCCCGCATGGCTGGATGCTTCACGTCCGAATGCGCTTGCATTTAGCACTGTGTGTCTCCGCAGACGCGGATAGGAGTGACAGGCTTCTGTGACTTTGGGAATTGACGGCCAAGGCGGCCGCCCGCCACAGATGCCGCATGTGTATATATATATATATATATGTATATGTATATGCATGTCTGCGTATATGTAGCTGAATATGTATATGTACAGGTATATTCATATGTATATGTAAATGTATATGTATATGTATATGTATTTGTGTATATGTACATGTGTATGTTTATGTATATATATATGTATATGTATATGTATATGTGTATGTATATTTATATTTATATGTATATGCATATGTGCATGACTATGTATATGTATATGTATATGTATGTGTAAATGTAAATGCGTATGTATATGTAACTGTATATGTATGTGTATATGTATATGTATATGTATATGTATATGTATATGCATATGTATATGTATATGTATATGTATATGTATATGTATATGTATATGTATGCGTATATGTATATGTATATGTTTATGTAGACGTATACGTATACGTATACGTATACGTATACGTATATGTATAGGTATATGTATAGGTATATGTATATGCCTATGTCTATGTTTATGTCTATGTCTATGTCTATGTCTATGTATATGTCTATGTATAGGTATATGTATAGGTATAGGTATAGGTATAGGTATAGGTATATGTGTATGTGTATGTGTATGTATATGTAAATGTATAGGTATATGTATATGTATATGTATATGTATAGGTATATGTGTATGTATGTATATGTATGTATGTTTGTATGTGTGTATATATCTATACATATATATATATATATATATATATATATATAACCGGGGTTCGAGGTCCCCAGGGGGCCCGTCCTCATTCTCCACTGCGGGACTGGGGCTCCAGGACCCCCCGTTCCCGGTCCAGAGCGGCCTAGATGCCCTCCAAGACGGCCAAGATGGCTCATGATGGCCTCAGAGATGCCTCCAGCACCGCCAAGAAGCCCTGATGCCCCAAGAGGCCCCCGAGAGGCCTCCCAAGAGAGCGCCAAGATGCAAACATGGCTCCATTCTCATCGGAAAGCGTACATTTGTACCATATTCGCCTCTTTGGCTTTCACAGCGTCCAAGACGGCCCGAGAGGCCTCGACGATCGTCCTAAGACGGCCCAAGAGGCTCTCAAGAGGGCTCCCAGACGGCTCAAGAGGGCCCCCAGACGGCTGAAAAGGGCCCCAGGACGCCCCAAGAAGGGGCCCAGAGGGGGCCCCCCAACTGACATTTGAAGCTCTCCGCCCCTAGAGGTCCCCAGGAATGCTCAAGAAGCCTCCAAAAGGCTCCAACATGCCCCCAGAGGCCCCTTAGAGACCCCACAAAAGACCTTAAGAGGCACCCAAAAAACCCGCAGGAAGCCCCACAAGGGCCCCGAGAGACCCCCTCAGACGCCCCGAGGCATTCCTAACGATCCTCGACGCCGTCGCCGCCGCAGCCGGCAGCCGTTTCGGCTGAGGCGCCGCTGCCGCCAAGGCTGCGGGCGGGCGCCGCTGCGGCCGTCGTTGGCGGGGCCCCCCGCAGCCTTGGCGGCGGTGAACTTGTCAAGGGCGGGTGCTTGATTGAATCTAAGCGCGCGCGAAGGCCGCGCGTGGTTTTAGAAGGTGTACATACGTGTATATATATCTATATATATATATGCATGCATGCATGTACGTGTGCACACATGCATGTATGACTATCTCTCTCTCTCGCTCTCCTTCCCTCTCTTTATATATGGATGCGTATACATGCATGTACATGCGCATGCATGGGTGTATGTATACATGCATGTCTATGTGTATAGGTATGTATACATGCATGTCGATGTGTATAGGTATGTATGTACATATATATACATGTATGCATACACGTACGTATATGGCACATATACCAACGTTTACGTATACATACATACATACATGTGGGTCTATGTCAGCGTATATAGATCTGTGTGGTTGTATGCATGCATGCAGGTAGGCCTGTATGTATGTAGGTATGCATGTATGCATGCATGCCCGTATGCACTTATGTATGCGTGCCAGTCGGTCTGTCTGTCTGTATGCATGCATGCATGTATGTCTGTCTAGCTGTTTGTCTGCCTGTCTGTCTGTCTGCCTGTCTGTCTGTCTGTCTGTCTGTCTGTCTGTCGGTCTGTCTGCCTGTCCGTCTGTCTGTCTGCATGCATGTCTGCCTGTCTGTATGCCTGTATGTATGCATGTATGTATGGCTGTACATGTATATCCGCGTGTATGTGTATATACACACATATATATATATATGTCAATCAATATCTGAGGGGCAGTGTTCAGTCAGCTCGACGAGAAAAAACTGAGTACGGACCACTGTGGCCAATCTCATAGTGTGAATCGATCAAGCTATATAAACCGTACCCTGAGGGCCTGTGAAGGCCTGGGCTGCTGTGCTGCGCGGAATCCCTCAGGCAGTCTGCAGCGCCCTGTGGTGGGGGACTTGGGGGCTGCCCTGCACCACCAGGGCCAGAAAAGAAAAAAAAGGGGGAGCAGCGTAAGGCAGTCGTTTTTTTCAGAGGCGAGGGGAGGAGGAGGTCGAGCAGCACCTGTCGGGGCGGGCAGGCGCAGCCTGAAAACAACTATCACCTCTGGCCACGTCGTCCCACGGGGTCCACCGTCATAGCAGCAGTAGCTTGACGCATTGCCCCTTCCAGTGGTACATGACCTCCCCCCACCAACTGTAGTACTCGTAGGGGGTGTCTCGCCATGATGTTCGTCTGGCTGTCGGTGATCCTTACTGGCCACTGCCGCTGCTGCCCTTGCCGCTGGTGTTGCCGCCCTTCTTGTTGCTCTTGGCGCTGTCCTCGAACTCGTCGAGGAGCTGTCGGGCCGCTCGCTCCAGTGGACCACGAGGTGCTGGCCCCTTCTTGATCAGGCCTCCTCGCTCCTTGAGCTCCGTCACCAAGGCCTCCTGCGCTTTCGGGTGGTCTCCGAGGATCACCATCGTGAGCTTCGCCATGTTCTCCTTGTTCTCCTTCGGCTTGATCGGTCGGCACTTGCAGTGCAGCACCACCTCCTGTACCCCTGCCGCGCTCTTGTCCTTGATGCAGGTCGTCCAGAAGGGCACAATCGCGTCCCTGCTGCTCTGGTCGCACTCGTCCTGGTTGATCCCCTGCACCGTCGCCATGAACATGTGGACGTACGGGGGCCCGAGCGTTTCCGAGCCCTTCTCGTCGTTCTTGTCTTTCAGCTCCTTCACCGCTGCGTGGTAATTCTGGCCAGCCTTCTTGGTCGCGCCTGCGACGTTGCTGTCCGCTGGGGTGAGGAGCGTAACGCAGACGATGCCTGCGATCTCCCTGAGCTCCGCCGCGTTCACCAGTGCCAGTCGTGCCATCACCACCACGAGCCGAGGCAGCACGCTCTCGCCCCTCTCCTCTCCCATGGTATTCTCGACCGTGCGGGCCCGCTTGTTGCCGCCGCCCCCCTGCGTTGCCGCCTTCCCTGAGCGCGAAGACAGCGCCTCTCAGGTCCATGGCCGTCGTCCTCCTGGTGCAATAGGTCAGGGCTCGTTTCGATTCCTCCGATTCGATTCGATTCGACTTCGATGGATTCCGATTCCGATTCGAGTCGATTTGGGCTTCCGATTTGGACTCCGATTTCTTATTGGAGGCATACTAGCCTGCCGATTTCCGCCGATTCGACGTTTCCCGATTCGGCTGCCGATTTCCGCCGATCCGATTCATGTCGATTGCCGATCCGATTTATCGATTCGATTCTGGGCTCTCCTGATAGGTCCAGTGGTGGAGCGTGGGGCAGCACGTGGATCTGCAGCTCATCGAAGCTTGAGCATTCCTGGCTGCAGATGTGGCGCGTTCTCAAATCTGGCGGAAGGCGGCCCCCGAGGTACGGCGAACCGCACACACACACACCGCCCCCCTTCTAACACTGGCAGCGACGTGTTTCTGTGTTGCCGCAAGCTGCCCATCCATAGAAAGACACCACGGGCATGTGTGAGTAATACCTGTGCACGTCCATGGGTCTCTACGTCCAGGTTTCTGTAGTCGGTGTTGTTTGACAGATTTGAATGGGGTGAACACCTCCTGGCACATAGCCCCGTCGTCGTCGTAGCGTCCGCATATCCATTTAGTCTCGTGCTGGGCTTGTGGCTCTCTCGTGGGCTCCATCTGAGGCACCTGCTGTGGGGTCCATCCTGGGGGCGGACCTGCACAGGCGTAGGCACCATCCCGCAATCGTGCGAAATCGATGGAGCTGAACTGGGCCGCCAGCTCCTGGTCCTGGAACAGCTTGAAGACTCCCTCCTCCAGCTCCTCCTTCAGCCACGAATACTCGTCTCCCATCGCCTCCAGCCCCTCCAGTCTGTCCTCCCTGGCCCTCTTCACCCATGGATTGATCTCCTCCCCCCCCAAGTCCTGGCCCTCGATAGTGGGATTCGGCTCGAAAGGGTACTGACCGAAGATCGCTGTGAGTTCCTGATCGTGGTGATGAGGTCGAGACGCTATTCTCTGGAGTCGTTTCAATCTTCGGATTCGAGCTTCAAGTTTCGCGGGTGCCATCCTCCAGTAGCGCAACACTTCCGTAGTTACGTTTTTGTGTTTTGCCTCTCCCGTCTCTGGAATGATCTCGGTTATGTGAGCTGCTCCGCGCATGGCCCTGCGGGCGAATCTGGCCACACGCTTGTCCAGTTCGCGCCAGTTGGCCTCGGTGAGGCAGAAGGCCTCGTTCCCCGACAGGGCTGCATTCTGTACACAGCACATGATCAACGCACGTCTGACTTCCCAGGGGGTGCGCTTC